GGTGGTCTGGTATTCCCATCTCTTTCAGAATTTTCCACAGTTTATTGTGATCCACACAAATCAAAGGCTTTGGCATAGTCAATAAAGCAGAAATAGATGTTTTTCTAGAACTCTTTTGCTTCTTCCATGATCCAGGAGATGTTGGCAATTTGATCTCTGGTTCCTCTGCCTTTTCTAAAACCAGATTGAATATCTGGAAGTTCATGGTTCACATATTACTGAAGCCTGGCTTGGAGAATTTTAAGCATTACTTCACTAGTGTGTGAGATGAGTGCCATTGTGCGCGTTTTTTTTTTGGTTTTTTTTTTGTTTTTTTTTTTAGCATTCTTTGGCATTATCTTTCTTTGGGATTGGAATGAAAACATCTTTTCCAGTCCTGTGGCCACTGCTGAGTTTTCCAAATTTGCTGGCATATTGCATGCAGCACTTTCACAGCATCATCTTTCAGGATTTGACATAGCTCAACTGGAATTCTATCACCTCCACTAGCTTTGTTTGTAGTGATACTTTCTAAGGCCCACTTGACTTCACATTCCAGGATGTCTGGCTTTAGGTGAATGATCACACCATCGTGATTATCTGGGTCATGAAGATCTTTTTTTTGTACAGTTCTTCTATGTATTCTTGCCACCACTTCTTAATATCTTCTGCTTCTGTTAGGTCCATACCATTTATGTCTTTTATTTTGCCCATCTTTTCATGAAATGTTCCCTTGGTATCTTTACTTTTCTTGAAGAGATCTATAGTCTTTCCCATTCTATTGCTTTCCTCTATTTCTTTGCATTGATCACTGAGGAAGGCTTTCTTATCTCTTCTTGCTATTCTTTGGAACTCTGCATTCAAATGGGTATATCTTTCATTTACTCCTTTGCTTTTGACTTCCCTTTTTTCACAGCTATTTTTAAGGCCTCCTCAGACAGCCATTTTGCTTTTTTGCATTTCTTTTTCATGGGGAAGGTCTTGATTCCTGTCTCCTGTACAATGTCACGAACCTCCATCCATAGTTCATCAGGCACTCTGTCTATCAGATTTCGTCCCTTAAATCTGTTTCTCACTTCCACTGTGTAGTCATAAGGGATTTGATTTAGGTCATACCTGAATGGTCTAGTGGTTTTCTCCACTTTCTTCAATTTCAGTCTGAATTTGGCAATCAGGAGTTCATGATCTGAACCACAGTCAACTCCTGGTCTTATTTTTGCTGACTGTATAGAGCTTCTCCATCTTTGGCTGCAAAGAGTATAATCAATCTGATTTCAGTGTCGACCATCTGGTGATGTCCATGTGTAGAGTCTTCTCTTGTGTTGTTGGAATAGGGTGTTTGCTATGACCCTTGCGTTCTCTTGGCAGAACTCTATTATCCTTTACCCTGCTTCATTCTGTAAGTCAGTCAGTTCAGTCGCTCAGTTGTATCCGACTCTCTGCGACCCCATGAATCGCAGGCCTCTCTGTCTATCACCAACTCCCGGAGTTTATACAAACTCATGCCCATCGAGTCAGTGATGCCATCCAGCCATATCATCCTCTGTCGTCCCCTTCTTCTCACATCCACAATCCCTCCCAGCATCAGGGTCTTTTCCAATGAATCAACTCTTCGCCTGAAGTGGCCAAAGTATTGGAGTTTCAGCTTCAGCATGAGTCCTTCCACTGAACACCCAGGACTGATCACCTTTAGGACAGACTGATTGGATCTCCTTGCAGGCCAAGGGACTCTCAAGAGTCTTCTCCAACACCACAGTTCAAAAAGCATTAATTTTTCAGCGCTCAGCTTTCTTCACAGTCCAACTCTCACATCCATACATGACCACTGGAAAAACCATAGCCTTGCTTCATTCTGTACTCCAAGGTCAAATTTGCCTGTTACTCCAGGTGTTTCTTGACTTCCTCCTTTTGCATTCCAGTCCCCTGTAATGAAAAGGACATCTTTTTTTGGGTGTTAGTTCTAGAAGGTCCTGTAAGTCTTCATAGAACTGTTCAACTTCAGCTTCTTCAGCATTATTGGTCAGGGCATAGACTTGGATTACCGTGATATTGAATGGTTTGCCTTGGCAACAAACCAAGATCATTCTGTTGTTTAGCCAATATTGAGTATATATACAAGTTATTATGAAAGCAAAACCTAAAATGGGAAACACTCACTTTCAGATACCAGTTTTTCCATCAATTAGCTTTTGCTGTTTTAATATTTGTTTTAAACAACAAACATTTCTAATTTCTTAAAAAAAAAAAAAAAAAAAAACTGTCTTTCCAAAAGGGGGTGGTGCAGTGTGACAGTTCTAGAATTTTGGCAGTCATTGTGCTGGCTCCTTGGGAAGTTTTAGCCAGACCATTAGAAGAAGTGCCCCAATCAAAAGTTCAAATCTGATGACAGTCAATAGAAATTCAGCATTTGGCACTAGGGAGTTTTAACACAGCTCTCATGAAGACATTTTCATCACACAGAATGGGCACAGGGGCAGCCCCAGACACCACGCCCCCTCCCTCCTCATGAGCATCACCTTTTACAACAGGCACTTTGCTCTCTCTGGTCACACAGTCTCCTAACATCCTTCCCTCACCCGGGTCAGATCAAGCCTTTTTGTGGTCCCAGGAAAGCTGAATCCTGGACATACTGCTGCCACTGACCACCAGTCCCACCTCCTTTAGCTTGTCACTGGCAAATATAGAAAAGGGCTTTTGACCAGGTAAGTATGATTTTAGGCTTTCTTACCTTATGCAAAGAGTTGACTCATTGAAAAAGACCTTAATGCTGTGAAGGATTTGGGACAGGAGGAGAAGGGGACGACAGAGGATGAGATGGCTGGATGGCATCACCGACTCAATGGACATGTGTTTGGATAGACTCCGGGAGTTGGTGATGGATAAGGCGGCCTGGCGTGCTGTGATTCATGGGGTCGCAAAGAGTCAGACACGACTGAGCGACTGAAGTGAACTGAACTGAATCCCTAATAAAACTTCCCAAAGGAAATTCATCTTGGTTCAGACAGATCCTTCCAATCCTTGCTCTATACCTCTTGGCATCATCACAGACCCTGTTATAAAAAATAACAGATTACTAAATGTGAGGCACTGAGACATGTACTTTACATACATATTTTGTCATTTAACTCTAATAATAAACCTGTAGGGTTTCCCTAAGGAAAATGGTACAGAGAATTTTTGACATTACATCCCCGTTCATGTAGCTCATAATAGTACATTCAGGAAAGGAACCCAGGTCTTGCTTGACTTTAATATTGACACTAATGACCTTGTTCACATAGAGCTGGAAGGGAGAAAAGAGAAAACAGCATTTAAAACTTTCCCTCCACATTCCCATGCTGCCCACAAACATAGGACAAAGACCTATATCCCTGAACCAACCCCAATTATGACATTGATAACTTCCTTGTTGTGTTCAACCTGGGACATGCTTCCTCTTATGCAGCCTGAAGGCATTTCACAATATTATGCAATACATATCCAAGGGCTCACATCTCCTGTAACTTTCCCAATGCCAGTCCTTCTGTGAGTAACTCTCGTGACCAACATGGGCTGCCCAACAGCTCTTGACCTTTGGTGAGTGCCTCAGCCTCAGCCACTGACACTGCCTCACTTTGCTCAAAGTTTCCGAGTCAGTGAATGTCATCCTGGCAATGTGGACACATTACAGTTGACAGGGTGATTGATTTGCCAGAAGTGAGCCTTCTAGCTGAAAACTACTGGAATATTTTCAGGCTTCTGTAGAAACACTCATTTCACTGAGATTACTGACACAGGTCTTGATTGTTTCCCTGTGAGTTGTTGAGAAGAACTTATGCTCCAGATCCTGAGATCAGTAAAAGGATTGTCCCTAGCTCCTGCATCTTCTCAGGACAATTTGGCCCTTAGGGATGCTCCCACTCTTTCCCTGAGCAAACCTGAAGCTTTCAGGCTGAATCTCAAAATAAGCTACAGCATTTCTATCTTTGTCCAACATAATCAACTCCCAGATGCTCCACAGTGAATCATCCAAACTGTGACTTGCCATCCACTCATTCCCAAACTGATTGTGCATGGGACACAGGCCAGACTTTTCTGGGCACTGATACCTAGAAATGACATGAACAAAGCCTCTGGCACTCTTCCCCTCCTTCTGATCTTTCTACCTGCCCTTCACCGTTCCCTGCAAAGTAAGCAGTAACAGAAATTGAGAAGCCCCATATCTAGGTCAGCTGAACCCTTGAGATGTCAACTGGCCAAAATCTGAGTCATAAAAGGGTTGGAATTGTTTATTAAAATAAGAGATTTGTTTATCTGTAGGTTTCACTTAACTCTGTCCCCTCCTAATCCCCCACATTTGCTATAACCACAGGGAACAGAGATTTGGCTATGATTGCTGCTCAGTCACACACCATTAACTTCCTATTTAAGTGCATATATACCAAGTAAATATTTTATCCTCTTACCCACATAGTCAACACACTAGAGCCCACACATTGTCTGTGTGCACTTCGGACATTTTTCAATTATTTTCAATCAGCTCAGAAGGGTCTAGTCCTAACGTTAGCTCTGCCCAGACTCACCAGGTACCAGGAAACCAAGGTGCTCAATTAAAGGACATGGCAGATTCCTCACCTAACAGGACAATCTATTTTCGATTCTCCTTTCATGGGTTACATCAGCACAAACACTCTGGGCACTCTTTCTCTTTCTCTCTGTACTTGGATAATTATCCCCTTCCTAATATGTCACTCCCTACTTGCTACTTAAAACCCCATGATGGTTCCCTATTCCTAGAAAATAAGGTGTAAATGCCTTAATATGACACTCAACGCCTGGCATGAGCTAGCTCCTGCCTACCTCTCTATCTTTACCTCCCATCCTTCCTCCATACTCTCACTTTCACCTACCCTGAAATGCTTCCCTAAGAATGACTAGTTCTCCCATGTCAATGTGTTTTTCCTCACCCTTCCTCCTTTTCCACCAAAGCACTTTGTTAACTTCTCCCTACTTCTATTAATATTTTCTTTCCCCTCCCCCAGGTTTCTGATTCATCGAACCCATTTCTTAATCGAATGCTCAACAGAGATACTATCACAAGAATAACATATAAAAGTAAGTTTGACTGAATTTTCTATACAGTAACTATTCTGTAAAGGTTAGTCGTATTTGAAGGCAGAATGCCAGAACTAATGATCTCCAAGGACCTCTTTCAGCTTCGTGATCATTCAATTCTGTAGAAAATCATCCTGGAGAGTCAGGGTTGGCTAAGAAACAACTCATTTCAAGCAGAAACCCCCAGAGTGCCTTTTTCATCCATGCCTGTCTAAAGAATGATTATTATGATGATGGTCATCATTAGCCTATGGATTGGTAATGAGCTGGGAGACTCTACTAGCTGACAGTCTCCACCATATCTGCTGGCCACATTTGGGGCTTTGCCAATTATGTGATTGAGAAAGCATTCACCAGGTGGTTTGATCCAACTTCAACACATTCCAAGGCCCTCAGCTGGACCACATCTCCCCTCTGTGTCACTGGGTCTCCCTTTCAGGTGAGACAAGGTGGAATTTTTCTTCATTTCCATGTGTGACACAATGAGCTATAGAATTCAGCCCAATTTCCTTGTGTTTCTAGAGTGTATTATTCCCTGAATCTGTAAGCAGAAAAGAGATAATGGTGCAAAGTTGAAATGAGTAGAGTGGAAAGGATGCCACTGTCTTCTGCAACAATCCCAGAGGTTGCAGGACTTGGCAAGAGTTATGGAAATAGTATACACCAAGGGATTAAAGTAGGAAAAATTTTAATTAATTAGAAGTGAGTAGGAAAGTGGGATTTTGTCCTTAAGCAAGGAGCTTCCTCACTTTGTTTCCTCCTTTGTAAAGAAGTTGAAATTCAGTTTCTAAGGTCCTTCTAAATCTAGGATTTTGAATCTGGTTTTGCAAAAGTAAAATTCAGTACACAAACATTCCAACACCCCACATCCCCTTGGCATGTCCTCACTTGGTGGAGGACATTGATGGTGGAGGACACGGATGGTGATGTGGAAAAACAAAGTAAATGCCTTACAGATATCACCTAGAACTACTTTAGGAAGAGTGTGGAGAACCCTTCTCTTGTTCAATTATTCATCAATTCAGCAAGCATTTCTTTCATGCCTGCCTCATGACAGCAGCAAGTTTGGCTCTTGGGATATAAAGATGGGCCAGACACCAGCCCTCCACACACAGCACTGCCATATGAAGAGTTTGGGGATTGTGGGGGTGGGTAATGAATGAACCTGGAGAATCAGCTAGAAGAATTATCTCCAAAACAATCTTACTCTTCCTCATAATTACCTATAACGTCCTTTAAGCTCAAACTTAGATTGCTCAGCAAAGGGAGACATTTCTGTGTTGGGTTGCAAATACATTTTATAACTGCTCATAAAGATTTTTAGTTTTTTATCTTTTTTATTAAAGGAGCATAAAATTAAATAAAATGCTTTCAAATAATCTTGAATTTGCAGTTTAGAGACCATGGACAACCATCAAATTACACTTTAAACCCCAACACACCATCTAAGAGACTTCCAGCTTCAGTCAACCATTAGTCAAACTTTGCACCCCACTCCCACCTCACAGCTCTAGGTTGATTAATGTTAAGTGATGTGGCTGCTTCTAAAGATAAAGCTAGTCATTTGGGTTTGTGCTATGGGAAGGTGGCCTTTCACATGAACGAGTATCAGTTCTGTTGAAAATAGGGGCTGGAAAACCAGGGTGACAGATTTTATTGAAAACGACGATGAACAGTAGTTTTATGGCTGAGGGGAACTTCAACTTCATCTACTTCAAGTGAGGTGTTCCTGCTGATTCACGTCCATTGAGTCTGTAGGAAGTGAGAAAGACAGCCTTAGACAATAACTCAAATGGATAGCAATGTTAAGACCAACTACCTTCATTTATCTGTTCACTCACTCATGTTACAAATATTAAATCATCCTGAGGGCCAGTGAACAGAGAGATCAATAGAACACATTTCCCATCTATGAGTCTCTCACTTTCTAGTCAGGGAGCCAGACATATAATGGTGTTTCTTAAAGATTTGTGTAATAAGCACAGTGTATTAAAAATACACTTGGGGATCATAGAAAATCTGCCTAAAATTCATGGCAGAGTTTTAAATAGGGATTGCTATTCAAATAAGTGCTAAATAGATGAACAACCATTTGGTGAGGAAAGACAGAAGGAAAGAAAGGGAGGGAGGAATAGAGGAAAGAAGGGGGTGGAAGGGGGAGGGAGGAAAAGAGGGAGGCAGAGAAAGAAGGAGAGGAAAAGAAAGGAAAGAAGGAGGGAAGAAGAGAATGAAGGACTTTCCAAATAGCATACACAAATGCAAGGAGGGGACTTAAAGGCCTCTGAAGGGTTCAAAGACAGGAAATTTGCCTTCATCAGCTCTTCCTCTGCATGGACAAGTGAGAATGACCTAGACACTGCAATAGCTAGGAAATGTGGCTGAAAGGGATGAATTTTCTCAGCAGGAAAGTGCCAACACTCTTCTTTCTAGCTAATCACCTAGAGGGAGCAAGTCTGTGGAAATTTGGCCAAACAAGGGAGCGATAGGGACGTTTCTGAAACAGGAGTCATGTGAGGACACAGCCAATGGGTGGGAAACATAAGACTGAGAAGTCCCTCCAGGGGCTCCGCAGGAGAGAGCAGGTCATGCTGGCATTTTCCCATGAACTCTGGTACACAATACCTCCTGCTCAGGGGCACCTACCAGAGACCTTTGCTTTCATGCTTTTAAGCAATCAAGAAAGGAATGAATCTCCCCAGCTACTATCCAATCACAATACCCAGGAACACCTGACCTTGGCCCCTGACCAACCCATTCTTCTGCTGCTACCCAGAATTAGACTCCAGTATAGCTTCAACCTGCCACACTCACTCATGTGTACACACTCTGCTAACTGCTTCAGCATCAGGAACATGGAAGTAATACTAGCTAAGCATTTTCCATACTCCAGGCTCTCTGCTAGAGCTTCACATGTAGCTTCTCACCTGGTGCTCACATATTCCTATTCCCAAAATAGGTATTAATAGTTATCCCAGTTTACAGATGAGGAAAGCAAAGTTCTAAGAAGTGAAGCCCTCTGTCAATGATATACATTTAATGAGTGGCTCTATTAGTCAGCAAATTCTGCATAATGAACAAGCATTCAACAATAGGCATTGCTTTCTCACTGCTGCATCTGTGGGTTGGTTGGAATGACTCTGTAAATCTTCAGGTCAGATAAGGTCAGATAACATGACTTTGGCTTTTTTATTAATTTTTTTTTTTTTTTTTTTTTTTTGTCAAGGATCAAGTACTTCTCACGGTGGGGATCAGAAATGTATGATGTTGCTTAAGGCCTAGTCTTGAAATTCACACACTGTCAATTCTATCCACTGTTCACTGTTCAAAGCAAGTCACATGGCCAAGCCCAACATCAAAATGCTCCCGTGGATTTGGGGCTAGGAAGGGAATGAACATTTCCTGAACAATAGTTTACTCATCCATAGTGGGATAGCAAGGATTTTAGCATAGGTCCTCCCAGGGATGTTCCTAGGCTTTCTTTCCTATTGTCTTCCTCCCTAAGGGGCAAGGAAAGCTTAGCTCTGAGGTCTTAAAACTAGTTGTATTGCTAACACTCTCACATTACATGAAGCTTCTCAGCTTGATTTTCTCTTAATCCCAATTTTAGTTCAGTCTGAAGAGATTTATCTTTGTTTTTTGCCAATGTTTCCACTTTGGAAGGGTCATAAACTAAGCACAGAACTTGTGGGCAATTTGAAATGTCAGGCTCATACCATCCTAAGCTCCCTGCAACTCCTTTTTCTCCTTTGGCATGGGACTGCTGGTGGAAATCACTGTCATTCATAGGAAGACAGTGGCATCACCATTATTGGGCACATACTGAAACCAGAGGAGACATAGAGATTAGTACTAGATGGGGTCAATTTTCCACATTAGTCTTTCCTTTGGAGATGTTTCATAATGAAAAGTCAATCTAAGACTCTGAGCAGAGAGTGACATGATCTGGCAAAAGGATCACTCCATTTGCTTGGGTGAAACATATTCATGGGTGAGAAGGGAGTCAGAAGTTTCAAATATGTTAAGCTCGAGATGGGCCTCAAAAAAGTATAGAGTAGGCAGCTGTATATATGAGTGTGGGTTTCAGGAGAGATAACTACAGATATAAATGTGGAAGTCACTTGGATCCAGATAGCATTTAAACCTGGGTGAGATCATGGCAGAGAATAAATAGAGAAGAGAGAGACATATCCTCATTTTTTTAAGAACAGCTCAGATCCCCATGATTTAACATTGCAAATAATTTCTAAAGATGCTTTTAAATTCTACCCTGGAAGAGGCTCTTGCATATCTGTCTCATCAACTGGTTCAAGAGGTGTAATGAGGCAGGAGTTAGCATGGAATCATGGGGTAAATTCAGCACAAAATGGCAGCCAGTAAGCACACTGTCCATTTGTCTGATTTGAACATACATTAGATGACTAGGAAGAAAAAAGGAACTGTGCAAAATCATTCTGCTGAGCCAGTTGAGAAAATCAATGCCAGTAATCCATAAAAGGAGGAAACAGGAGAATATTGCCAAAAGGACTGTGAATTTTGGAAGCCAACATGCTACTAAAGGCTATACTATATAGGACCACACTACTACACTATACTGAGAGGACTCAATATGTTCTGGTGAAGAGATATAAATCTAAGCAGACCTCAGCTCCTAGCTCTACCATATCTTTACTGTATAACTTCAGGCAAGTTTCTTAACCTCTCTGAGGTAATTTCCTCATCAATAAAATGGGGATACTAATACTGATATTGAGGGAATTGAGATGGGGGTTAAATAAGGTAATGAGTCAGTTGCCTGGACAAAGACTGGCATAAACAAGGTGCTTAATAACATGTGCTTCTCTGTTATCCCTAGGTATGTTTTGGTCAAATCTAGCTTCTTAGGAGATGAGAGGAAGGTCAATATAATACTTAATAAAGCTATCTTCAAGGTGAATGCAACACAGAGCACATAAGCAGCATAGCTTGTTTACTCAAATGAACTCCTGCTCCTGTGTGGGACCCATGCAGTGGATGGTAATAGCCTAGTGACCTTCTACTTTCTTTGAAAGTCTGGATTTCGTATGTCTGAGCAAATCTTATAACACACTCTCACTAAACCAGACTGACAATGGAAAAAAAAAAAAAAACAGCCTAAATTAATTTCAGGCTGACTTTGGAAAGTCTTTTAAAGAAAATCTACACAGCAGTTGAATCTGGGATATCAGCACAACCATGTTTTGGAAGCGGATTGTTACCCTTCTACATGGGTTAAATCCATAAAGATATCCTCTTGCTTCTGGCCTTCCCTCTATACCCCAACGCACACACACACACACACACACACACACACACACACACACACCGAACCCTGTCCTCAAATGTAGATAGAATATAGAGACTGATTATAGTTTCAGAAAAACCTTAATGTTATTTTTCTTTACTCTAGAACCATGCCTGGAATGCCCCCCCATTCTGCAGTCTCCTTCAGTTCCCCCTCCCCACCACCCTTAATAAAATAAAATACAATAATAGCAGCATGCTAGAGTACCCAATATGGTCCAAGTGCAAAATTGGTTAAACAAATCATGTTAACCTTTAATAAAGATGTGCCAGATGCTTCCTTTTCTAATTCAGTACACTCAACTTCATATTGTACGGCCAAGCCACCATCAGAAGAAGAATCATTAAGTGCAAATCTCATCATGCTATTCCTCTGCTAAAACATTTTGGTGGTGCCATATTGCCATGACTAGTACTGGGACAAGAAATAAACATATTTTTGTTTAAAATGATTCTATTTGGGGGACTGTTTGTTCCTGCAGCCTATCCTGACATTCTACTGGAATCTGAGAAGGACAAAAAATATATTATCAGTAATAACCAATACGTTCTCAAGAAACCTAATTCTTAAGTCTTATTTTTTTTTCTTTAGATGATGCATATTTACTACAAGGACTTAATATAGAGGAACTATATCCAGAGACCTCTAGTTTCATTACTTATGATGGGTCCATGACTATCCCACCCTGCTATGAGACAGCAAACTGGATAATAATGAACAAACCTGTCTATATAACCAGGATGCAGGTGAGTTTCTCTGTGGTATTTTAGTTAATGGGGAAGAAAATGTGAAGACTGGCTGGGTTTTTGGAGTGCTTATTATATTTATTTGCTTGGACTGCTTTAACAAAATATCACAAATTTGGTGGCTTAAACGAAAACATATTACCTCACAGTTCTGGAAGCTCTAGGTCCAAGATCATGCTGTCTGCAGAGACATTTCCTTCAGATGAAGTAAGGAGGAATTTGTTCTATACTTCTCCCCTGTTTTCTTTCAGTTTTCTGAAAAGCTTTGGTATTCCTTAGCTTATAGAAGCATCACCTCCATCTGCCTTTATCTTTACATGACATTCTCCCAATGTCTGTGTCTCTTTGTCCAAATCCCCCTTAATAAGAACATCAGTCAAATGGGATTAGGGCCTACCCCAATTAGTCATATTAGATTAGAGCCCACTTCAATAACCTCACTTAATTACATCTATAGTGATCCTCAAAATTCACAAAAACAAAGATCATGGCATCCCGTCCCATCACTTCATGGGGAAACAATGGAAACAGTGAAAGACTTTATATTCTTGGGCTTCAAAATCACTGCAGATGATGACTGCACCTGGGAAATTAAAAGGTGCTTGCTCCTTGGGATAAAAACTATGGCAAATATAGACAGCATATTAAAAAGCAGAGATATTACTTTGCTGACAAAGGACAAGATAGTCAAAGCTATGGTTTTTCTAGTAGTCAGCATGGTTATGAGAGTTGGACCATAAAGAAGGCTGAATGCTGAAGAATTGCTGCTTTTGAACTGTGGTGTTTAAGAAAACTCATGAGAGTCCCTTATACTGCAAGGAGATCATACCAGTCAACCCTAAAGGAAATCAATCCTGAATATTCATTAGAAGGGCTGATTCTGAAGCTGAAGATCCAATGATTTGGCCACCTGATGCAAAGAACTGACTCACTGGAACAGACCCTGATGCTGGGAAAGATTGAAGGCAGAAGGAGAAGGGGACGACAGAGGATGAGATGGTTGAATGGCCTCACCAACTCAATGGACATGAATTTGAGCAGTCTCTGAGAGATGGTAAAGGACAGAGAAGTCTGGTGTGCTGCAGTCCATGTGGTCACGAATAGTTGGACACAACTGAGCGATTGAACAGCATAAGGACCCTATTTCCCAATGAGGTCATGTTCTGAGGTACTGAGGGTTAGGACTCCAGTATTTGCATCTGGGGGGTACACAATTCAGCTCATCACACCTATGTTTAAGGAATTAGCATCTGGAAAGACTCAGTTTGAAATAATTATAGATGTGCCCTACCTGCCTGAGTGAGAAAGGAATCAGGGTTAGTTCCCAAAGTGTGCTCTATCAACTCTAGTATTCAAAAATCAGATGAGCAAAATGGATGATATTGTCAAGTATGTTTGGAAAAGCTGTACCTAAAAAGAGCTAAATCAGTTTCATTGCTGGGAGACTTCTCGGGGCCTTTAGAATGATAATATATGCCTATCTCCAAGAGGAGGCAATATGATGTGTAGCATTTCATAAACATATTTGAATGTAGGATTTTTTAGAGCTTCCCACAATATTCCTTGTTGGGCTAGCTAGCATTTCTCAGAACTGGATGGGAATCAGGAAATGTGGCTTCTGAGGTCACCTTTGTTAATGGGTCATTATGTACTCCTAAGCCTGTGGCTCCACTTCTGTGAAGTGAATTATCTTCTTTATAATGAGGGGGTACATTACATGAGTCTATCCTGTGATTGTGATGGTCTATAAAAGCTCAGAGAAAACACAAGCAAAGAAAGCAAAACCAAACTCCTTTTTTAGGACACGTACTCACAACCTGACAACTCTTTGAACAATTTGAAGTGCCTGATGCTATTTGTATTTATTGGGATTTTTGGTGACAAGCAAACCGTTTGGGATAACTTGAACTTAGAAAAAGGATTTATTCATGACATCTTGGGTCATCTTATGGAATTTAAGATCAGAAAATGATGTCCAGAATTCACTGGAATCAGAACTGCAGAAACCCTTTCTCTCTACACTGTCCTGCTCCCTCCAAACCATGGTTCACCCTCCTCTATGCTAGAGTTTTCCTTAGATTTGCAGTCCTGGGTGGAACATGGCTGAAAACATTTTAGTCCAGCTCTTGGTCCTGAGAGTCACAGAAAAATAACTTAAGCTGGATTCAGCTTAGCTTAGCTTTGACTCCTGGACCAGTCACTATAGTTTTGATAATACTCGTATCAGAAAACCATTCCCTTAATTACTCAACTTTAGGGTGTGAGAGTAAGAGTCTCTGGAGAACACCCATCTGGGTTTCCTCCTTTGACAGCATGCCATAGGACAGAAAATAATAGCTGACTTGTCCAGAGGCACAGCAGAAACCAGTGAGCTTAAATTAAGGCTCTCTCCAAGCATGGAAGCATCAGTGGGTTGTGCCCACTGAACCCATGGCACTGCCCAGGCTGGCCATGGTCTGTGTAGTCTTACTTCTTCCCTACTACATGTAAGAGGGTGGGTGGTTCTCACAGCTCTTTCTCTCCTCTCAGATGCATTCCTTACGCCTGCTCAGCCAGAATCAACCATCTCAGATCTTTCTGAGCATGAGTGACAATTTCAGGCCTGTCCAGTCACTCAACAACCGCTGCATCCGCACCAACATCAACTTCAGTTTACAAGGGAAGGACTGTCCAAACAACCGGGCCCAGAAGCTTCAGTATAGAGGTGGGTTCAGAGGGCAGCCGACACACGTCCCTCTGGTCTTCTTACTTAAACCTACTCTGAAAGGTTTTGAACTATCTCTCTTTATAGGAATCATGATTATAAATGATATTTTCATGATGCTTTTCTATTGAAAACGTTTATATGTCATAATCAGAAACACAGATCAAATCTTTAAATCTTGTCTGGTACAGACAAGATAGCATTTTTATTACCATTTTAGAGAAGAACTCAGAGAGGCTGATTTTCCCAAAGTTATGTGCTAAAATAGGACAACTAGAAGCACTAGAGCTTTTAGTTATATACAAAGAGATCCCTTTTCCCCTAGAAGGTGAGCAAATAACTCTAGATTCCAGGTGACTAGGGGCCAATGAGATGTGTGTCTGAACACATTTTTTTCCCAATGCCTTGTGTCTAGAAGTGATAAGAATTCCTACTAAAGTGGGTGTTCAAGGTGCCTCCCACCTTCTGCAACCCTCTAATCCACATCTAACCCACTCTCTTCCCATCTACACATTAAGTACCTATCTATCATTGTTGTAAATTTCCAATATGGAAAGGAAAGTGGAGATGAGTCATGAAGATGTCCTCGACCAGGAGATAGAACACCAGAGTTCCAGGCCTGATCCTGACACTAACAAGCCAAATCATTTACCTCCCCAGCCCTAGCTCCCATGACAGTCTTTATACCATCTACATCATGATTTGTTGTGAGGAGAAAATGAGAGGCTGGATAGGGAAGTCCTTTGTACTGATAATGTGTTCCTTGAATATGGGGATTGTGGATGTTACCATACAACTTTTAGAAGCAACTACCACTACTAGCCTCCACCGTATTGCTCCAACTTCCCCCAAATTTCTTTAGTTTTCTCTCTCTTTCAGACATACTCAGAGTACTAAAACTATAATTTATGTTTCTTTCCAGCCAGAAATACTCAACTCATTCATTCATTGAGCCTTCACTTTATTCAGTATCTATTTATTATGCACCTGTTATGTGCTGGGCTTCCCTGGTGGCTCAGCTGGTAAAGAATCTGCCTGCAATGTGGGAGACCTGGGTTTGATCCCTGGGTTGGGAAGATTCCCTGGAGAAGGGAAAGACAACCCACTGCAGTATTCTGGCCTGGAGAATTCCATGGACTATACAGTCCATGGGGTAGCAAAGAGTCAGACACAACTGAGTGACTTTCACTTTCACTTATTATGTACCAGGCACTTAGCTAGGTGATGAAGAAAGACATGACCCTGTCCCTACAGAACTTATAGTCTAAGAGTGGGATCTGCTAACTTTTTCTGCAAAGGGCCAGATGAGCAATATAGGCTTTGTGCTCTGCTGTACTCTGATGTTCTAATGTGAAAGCAGCCATAGACAATACGTAAATAAATGAGTGTGTCTGTGTTCTAATAAAACTATATTCATAAAAGCAGTTCACAGCTGGATTTGGCTTGCAGGCTGTCATTTGCCCACCTCTGGTCTCAAGCAACACTATCCACTATAGCTTCTTGACACATGGAAGTATTCTGTGTCTGTATTGACCAGTATGGTAGCTACTGGCCACATGTGGCTATTGAACATTTGAAGTGTGGCTAGTATGACAATGCAACTAATAGTTTTAATTAATATATATATATATATGTATATATATAATATATAATATATATTTATATATATACAATATATTATATTTAACATATATTTATATATATATATATATATATATATATTAGCCACATGTAGCTAATGACAATATTATTAGATATCTCAGACCCAGAGTTTCATAGGAAGGTGGAGAGTATAGTTGGGATACATACAAGTAAGAAGACATTTAAAAACTGTCCCTTCCCCTTTGCAGTAAGCTGCCCAACCTGTGTGCAAATTCATCCAATTATGTCTTGTTTTGTGTTGTTTGTTTTATTTGTTTCTTTCTCTCTCTTTCCAGTAAATGAATGGCTCCTCAAGTAGGGAACCAAGCCAAGAATTCCACCTCAGTGAAATGCTACGACTGTGAATTGATGTAACCTAAAATGTCCCCTTTCTTTCTTCTCTCTCCTTCCCTCCTTCAAGCCTCATTCACTCTGTGGATTGGCCCTTCCTTCATAAAAAGTGTCTGCAAAACCTTGGCAGAGGAGTACGTCTCTTACACACACTCACAAACACACACAAGCACACACACATGCAAATATACAAACACACTCACACAGCACCCAAGATGGGAAGTCAAGTTTCAGAAACAAAAGGCTCATTCATAAAAGGTTTTAGAAGAAAATAACCAACTAACCAGATTACAATTTTGATACTGTTTTCTGGAACAAATAAATCTACCCAATGAGACTTTTCAGCCTTTGTACATACAAAATTCTTCTGAGAGAGAGGAGAAAACACAGCTCTGACAGCATCAAGTGGACTTTGTTCTTTGCATTGAGTAATCTTGGATAGTGTCCTAAGATCCTTTAAAGGTGCTGGTAACAGGTGAGCCAGGATAAAGTTGGCCAAGGACACATTTCTAGATTATCATTCTTCTGTTTACTCAACAATTTTAAAAGGACAGACATTGAAGAGATACATATTGCGTGTGTGTGTGCGATATAACCACACAGACTATTAAAAAAATGGAATTATTGCTCCTCTTTGTCATATATCTATACTAGGACTTGTCAAGATCAGATTGATCCATTGCTGTTTCTTATTTTCCAAAGGTCATACATTGTGTTTGGTTATTGTTAACAGCTCAATAAATGTGTTTAACAAGTTAATTTCATTTTTCTTGCTTTGATCTATTCTTCTTCCTTACAGGCTCAGCCCTGTTTTCATACAACTGCATTCTTGCTTTTACTTGTTCCTTCATCTATGTTTTGTTAATTTGCAGCCAGTTTTTACTGAATTTGTGGCAATCAGGAATGCATTTGATAAGCTAAGCATAATTTTAATTCCACTCCATGGCTTGATCATGCATAGGAGGTGAGCTTCATCCTGAGATAGCAGGCAACAGATTTCTTGCATTTCAAAACTTCTACCCTCATGCCAATGATGCTCCCTTGAAGGAATGCACTTTGCCTTGTAAATTCTTGGGTAAGGGGTGTCTTTTCTCTCCAGGTGCAACTGGATCTCACAAAGTACAAATGAATGCCTTTCTTTTCTTGTTTATAATGGTCACTCACTGTGTTTGGTTACTGTCAAGAAATCAATAAATGTGTTTAACAAGTTACTCAGTACCCCTGTCTGAGTTTATTGAAGAGGACAATATTCTCTGCTGAAGCCTCTGAGTCCTGCTGTGTCCACAAGCAATTGTATTATGGCCAGCAGGGCAGCTGAACCTGCCAGAACAGCCCATCTGTTTATATTCCTAGAGCCAGATAATTAATACCCTGTTGAGAAAGCATATAGGCTTAGCTGCTGGAAAGGAAGACTTGGATGTTCATCCAGAGGCCAAATTAAAAATAACTTTCATCTCTCATTTCTGTTATAGCCTCCAGAAAATGGGAAAACACAGTCATGTATGTCTGTGCACATGGGAACATTCACAGATATGTCAAAAACTTCAGCCAGGTAGCCAGGTTTGTTGACAAGGAAAAAAAAATCTGTCATATATTTCATATTTAAAATAATACACTTAATCGGATTTTTTAAACACTTTGCACCAACATGATGATGGGTTTAACCATGATGACATGTGACTCTGTAACTAAGCATCACTTTTTGCATAAAACCAGATCTTTCTGAAAATATTTAGGGTGGGCAAGTGGTAATCTTTCTCTGTGTGGCTTGCTGCCTTCCCTCTGAGTCAAAATATTCTATAGACTGCAATGAAAAGGAGTGATATATTGTATCAGCCAGGTCTGGCTTCAAATCTTCAGTGTACCATTTGCCTACTTGCTGTGTGTGATCCTAGGCAAGTTTCTACTTCTCTGATCTGTTAATTGGATATCCCAATAACTGCTTCTATGAATTAAGAGGCCTTAAATGCTACATAGCTGATTAAAGCAACTCACAAAATACCTGCAATGATTGTTCTATAAATAGTGCCTATAGAGCATGTGTGTGGCCTACCTATTAAAGGTTTTTCTCCACCATACCATACTTTCCCCTCCAGGGAGGGGAGAGCACCAATCACAAAAAGGGCACCAAGTAAATGCCAAATGACAGCAATAGATATCCAGCATTAAGAACAGAGGTAAGTACATATAGTATGTTGGGGCAAAAAGGAAAGAGTATCAGTGAGAAAAAGATAAGAGGCTGAGTTTCTAGGCCTTGTTCTGTTACCAGCATCTCCTGTGACTTTGGACAAGTCAACTGACCTCCCTGGAAGAATGTTCTTGTACATAAGTGACTTGGATACAGTGATCTCTCACAGACTTTCTATTATTCCTTCACTCTTTTCTCTTTTTCAGTTATCAGTACAAAGAGGAAAAAGGGAAATCAGGTTGTTATCCCTTGGGGGTCCCTGGACACAGGCAGAATTTCACTCTGGCCAAACAGAACTCAAAATGGAGTGAACTAGCCTGTCTCCCACCTCTTAAGCCCATCCAAAATGCCCTTTCTCCCACTCACTGGATTTTCCAAACTATGAAATGAAAATTGGAGTACTTTGCCTTCAAACCAGATAGAAGGAATAAAGATTAGCTAGATTTATACCACTTCAAAAAGTGAAGAAGAAGACGAATTTTTAAAAGCAGCAAAAGCCCCTGATAGTTGGCTTGATAAAGATATCGAGGAATAAAAATGCATTTTTCATTTTCAGTCCATGGTGCTTAGGAAGGTCAGGCAATGATGCTGCTGTGCTCTTCAGCATGTGAAGGCCGTCTGGTTTTGCCCAATGAGCCACAGGCTTACAGGGACATTCCTTTCCCCTGAGAAGCTGGACACACCTGAGCAACTAACAATTTCACCTTTACTCTTTCTTAGGAAGATAATTAGGCATTTCAGGAAAACATATGTTGAACTCAATTCCATCCTTAACAAATAGGAGAGGGAGGTAAACATACACAGAAGGGAACTCTGGTCAAGATGTATGAGAAAAATTATTCTTAGTGTGGAGATCCACAGTTCGCCTCTTAAGAACATTTTCTGCAGTTTCCAAGACCATTTAAGGACTTGTTCCCACTTCCATCAGTAGCAGTTCAGTGTCTGTGGTGATGTCAGAACAACCACAAATCACAGCACCACATGTTCTGAAATGTGACAGTCATTTGGTGTTTGGACAGGAGTTCAGTCCTTAGGCATGGCCCATAGCCACCTGCACCAGGCTGAAATGTCTGATTGAGGAAAATCAATTAACATGAAAACACCTTTAGGGGAGTCCTTATTCACCCTTCAGGACCCCAGAGCAGTTTCAAGCTCTCTGGAACATGAAAATGGAAACTAGGATATTTCACAAGAGTATCCCAGTTCTTCTGTTCCAGAAAGCTTAAGAGAGGGATCGCTAGAAGCAGAAACTCACTTTCTCACCATTCACCAATTAGCGCAATTGACCATAAGTCAAAAAATTACCTGTGGCTCAGATCATGAACTCCTTAGTGCCAAATTCAGACTTAAATTGAAGAAAGTGGGGCAAATCACTAGACCATTCAGGTATGACCTAAATTAAACGCCTTATGACTACACAGTGGAAGTGAGAAATAGATTTAAGGGACTAGATCTGATAGACAGAGTGCCTGATGAACTATGGATGGAGGTTCATGACATTGTACAGGAGACAGGGAGCAAGACCATGCCCAAGAAAAAGAAATGCAAAAAAAAAAAAAAAAAGGCTGTCTGAGGAGGCCTTACAAATAGCTGTGAAAAGAAGAGAAGTGAAAAGCAAAGGAGAAAAGGAAAGATATACCCATTTGAATGCAGAGTTCCAAAGAATAGCAAGGATAGATAAGAAAGCCTTCCTCAGTGATCAATGCAAAGAAATAGAGGAAAACAATAGAATGGGAAAGACTAGAGATCTCTTCAAGATTAGAGATACTAAAATATTGCTGTTGACCCATGAAAAGACACTGGGATTCTTGGCCTCTGGAGGAGAAGAATTCAATCCAGGGCCAGGGATGAGGCTTGATCACTCAGAGCTTTTGTGTAATAAAGTTTTATTAAACTATTAAGGAGATAGAGAAAGTTTCTGGCATAGGCATCAGAAGGGGGCAGAAAGAGTACCTCCTGCTAGTCTTCAGCTGACTGTTATATAGTCACTAGTGGTCTGTTAATGAAAGAAAGGAATGTCTTAAACCTCAGAATGGCACCAGGCCCCTCATCCATAAGATGTATTTTGGGATAATCTTGGCACCTGATGATTCATCCCGGGCCATAAAACAATTGACTTGAATCTTGTAGAAGGGCAGATTATCATACAAATAGTTCCGTTTACATAGATTAGGGGAACAATGTCTGAGTATAACATACTGGTTTGTCAAGTAGTCATTAGGCCAAACCGACTTAAAGGCAGAGTCAGGGGTAAATGCATAGCATATTAACATAGCTTAAAACAAACATTTCCATAAGCAAAAAGGCACTGGTTTGAGAATAGCTAACTTCAGGTGAAACCAGGTGTCATTATGGTAACAAGTATTTTAAGAGAAGCCTCCTTTTAAATTTGTTTAGAGAAGGAAAAAAAAAAAATCTCTAGATTGTTTCCTCCTGCCGCTTGAGAGAGATAAAAATGTCTGGCACTTGCAGCCTATTTCCTCTGCTTGGAGACCCCTGGCCTTCCTGCCTGTTACCCGCTCAATACCAAGGGAATGTTTCATGCAAAGATGGGCTCAATAAAGGACAGATATGGTATGGACCTGACAGAAGCAGAAGATATTAAGAAGAGGTGGCAAGGATACATAGAAGAACCGTACAAAAAAGATCTTCACGACCCAGATAATCATGAAGGCGTGATCACTCCCACTCACCTGGAGCCGGACATCCTGGAATGTGAAGTCAAGTGGACATTAGGAAGCATCACTACGAACAAAGCTAGTAGAGGCGATGGAATTCCAGTTGAGCTAGGTCAAATTCTAAAAGATGATACTGTGAACGTGCTGCACTCAATATGCCAGCAAATTTGGAAAACTCAGCAGTGGCCAGAGGACTGGAAAAGGTCAGTTTTCATTCCAAACCCAAAGAAAGATAATGCCAAAGAATGCTCAACATACCACACTGTTGTACTCATCTCACACAGTAGTAAAGTAATGCTCAAAATTCTCCAAGTGAGGCTTCAGCAATACGTGAACGGTGAACTTCCAGATGTTCAAGCTGGTTTTAGAAAGGGCAGAGGAACTAGAGATCAAATTGCCAATATCCGCTGGATCATCGAAAAGGCAAGAGAGTTCAAGAAAAACATCTATTTCTGCTTTATTGGCTATGCCAAAGCCTTTGACTGTGTGGATCACAATAAACTGTGGAAAATTCTGAAACAGATGGGAATACCAGACCACTTGACCTGCCTCTTGAGAAACCTGTATACAGGTCAGGAAGCAATAGTTAGAACTGGACATGAAACAACAGACTGGTTCCAAATAGGAAAAGGAACACATCAAGGCTGCATATATTCACACTGCTTGTTTGTCTTATATGCAGAGTACATCATCAGAAACGCTGGGCTGGAGGAAGCACAAGCTGGAATCTAGATTTCCAGGAGAAATAAAAATAACCTCAGATATGCAAATGACACCACCCTTATGGCTGAAAGTGAAAGAAGAGAGTGAAAAAGTTGGCTTAAAGCTCCACATTCAGAAAACTAAGATCATGGCATTCTGTCCAATCACTTCATGACAAATAGATGGAGAAACAGTAGAAACAGTGGCTGACTTTATTTTTCTGGGCTTCAAAATCACTGCAGACGGTGATTGCAGCCGTAAAATTAAAAGACGCTTGCTCCTTGGAAGGAAAGTTATGACCAACCTAGACAGCATATTAAAAAGCAGAGACATTATTTTGCCAACAAAGGTCCATCTAGGGGTCGGATACGACTGAGCAACTTCACTTTCACTTTTCACTTTCATGCATTGGAGAAGGAAATGGCAACCCACTCCAGTGTTCTTGCCTGGAGAATCCCAGGATAGGGGAGCTTGGTGGGCTGCCATCTATGGGGTCGCACAGAGTCAGACACGACTGAAGTGACTTAGCAGCAGCAGTCAAGGCTATGGTTTTTCCAGTAGTCGTGTATGGGTGTGATAGTTGGATTATAAAGAAAGCTGAATGCAGAAGAATTGATGCTTTTGAACTGGGGTGTTGGAGAAGACTCTTG